CCCCCCCCCCCGTTTTTCACTGGTTTTTTGTTTGTTTCCCGCCTGGAGAACAAAGGTGCCACATGTATGGATAATCTTTGTTGTCGATGCCCGCTTTTTTTCAGCGGTTCCTCTACACCGCATGCCGACATCGGCTGATTGCGTTTCGGAAACTATAGGTGAAAACCATGCTCAATTATGCAACTTGGGGGGTGCAGTAGTCGGGTAGCCGCAGGCGTGACCGTAGATGTAGACGAAACGTGGCGTGTTTGTGTGTCGTTTAGGTGGCATGTTTTGCTTTGATTTACCGGGCGGGGAGGTCGGGTCGGAACGGGGCTGTCGTTTTTGTTTTCGTTTGTGGTTGGTCTGTCTTGCACTCTTCCCTGCCCCCACCCTTGTCTGGGTTTCATGTTTCTTTCATTGCGAAGGTACGGTGAGCTCTGGTCGATGAATGGTTGGCCGAAACGCCCAGCGTTAATGTATATTCGCTCCCCTAGTCGCTCTCGGTTACCTTGGTATCTATATTTTGTCTGGGGATGAGGCGTGGGAGGGGGTGAGGGAGGGTCGTCAATTTCTCGCCGAACTGGGATGATGTTCGGTAGCCACGCTTGCATGGCTCGCCGTAATGGGTGCGCTGTTGGGTGTGGTATGCAAGTCTTCTGTGTTGTCTGTCACTTGTCCTTGTGGTAAGCTTTGAGGTTGTCTTGAGGTTGTCTTATGATCAACAGCTAGCTCTGTGCTGACTCGTGTCTTGATGGTTTGATGCGTCACGTGATGATCTTGCCACTTCATTGCCATATGCCACCCTGCGGTCTAAGTTGGCTCCGGGAGCTCAGGGGTGGGCCCGCTGGGCTGCCGAGCGTTTGTTTCTTCTCCTGTGTCTAGTTTGTGTTCTGAAGGTTGTTGAGGTGTTGTCGATTTCAACATGATGCAACGTGATGAATGGTTGGGTGCATTTGGAAGCGGACTTTGGGATTCGTTCACTGGCAAACGTGGTCGCCCCGGTGGTCTAGTTGGTTTCCTCGAAATCTTCTTGAGGTCAGGTACGGGGTTCGGTTCCCGGCGTAAGCGAGCTTTTCTTGCAAAGTGAGTTTTTTCCTGCTTCCGCTCCTGGCCTATTGGATAGCGCTAGTTCGTGTCTACACAGATGGACAAGAGTGCTGAACTCTTCTCGGGCAATGTACCGCAGGAGGGGAGGGTAGAGAGGGGCTCTACTGTGATACCACGGGTTGGAGTAAACTGCACCAGTGCCCTGAGCGCTGATTTGAAGTGAAGACAACAACAAACAAAAACGCCTGGGCGATGAATTACACGATAGGGGTAGACCTAAGAAGTCACTTGTTGATCATTAGAACATTGTGGATCGCACCCGACACTGGGTAGACTAATGTAGGGTCCAATCGTCAGCTGGTTGCTGTGCTTTTTTGTATTTGTTGCGATTCGAGGGTTGGGATCGCCCGTAGACTATTTCTGTTGTTCTTGTCCGTGGCGATGGGTCGTTTTTTGGGGGGGGTTAGGGTGCTGGACCGAACTGCTGATAAGCCCCAATGATGCGAAATCCGTAAGTTATTGCCAACCGTCACTTTCGCTGGTCTAGTTGGTAACCTTGAAACATTCTAGAGGTCAGGTCAGGGGTTCGAAGCCCGGCGCAAGCGAGCTTTTCTTGCACAGTGAGTTGTTCTCTCGCTTCCGCTCCTGGTCTAGTGGATGGCGCTAGTTCGTGTGTACACAGAGGGAAGAGAGTGCTGAACTCTTCTCGCATTAAAAATCGAAGGCAAAGTACCTCAGGAGGGGAGGGTAGAGTCTTCTGTGTGACCACGGGTAGGAAACGGCACTTGTCCTGTGAGCTCTGATTTGAAGTGAAGATAACAAAAAAACGCTGATCGNTCAGGAGGGGAGGGTAGAGTCTTCTGTGTGACCACGGGTAGGAAACGGCACTTGTCCTGTGAGCTCTGATTTGAAGTGAAGATAACAAAAAAACGCTGATCGTCTGTGACCTGCTTTGGTGTATGCCCTTCGGCGATATATGGTAGGGCAAGGCCCATCGAGCTTGCCCGTGGCACCCGATGTCGTTGTTGGAGCTTCTTGCTCCTTCCTGTTACTTGGTGTGCCTTGCTGCTCTGTCTGATCTGCTGCGTTGGTAACCCAATCTCTACTGTTACAGACGCCTGCTGCCGTGTATGTGTTTATTGTATTGGCAGTCAACGGTTTGATGTTGGTGCTGCATGTCCGCAGGCAGTTCTTCTTAGGGAAGGGAAGGGTGTGAGGGGTGGCGGTGCCAACGAATTGCAGACTTGGAGTATCATTTCGGTGCCCGCCCGGACTAGGCTGTTCGGGCATGGGTTCTTTGAGCGATCTCTTCTATTAACCGACCCCCTTGAGGTGTGATTCAGGCTCTTCAGCGCCTACGCTCAGTAGGATCGATCGCAGGTAAGCACCTGTTTGGCGTCCCGGTGCACGTTCCGTTCCGCTACATTTGATTCGAGGAAAACAATTTTTTCGACGCACACATGTACATGGGTTCGATTGGGGTGTGCATGGGACGCGTGTTCTCGCGATCGCTGTGTGTAGCCTGGGCTAAAGAGCATTGGTGACGATTGCTTGATTGAGTCACTCACGGTATGTAAAGAATGAACGAAACAATAATATTCTAATGAAGTACCATACATCCGAGGGGTTTCTGTTGCCCCTAAATCTCTGCTCAGGTCGCTGTTGAATGAACAACGGTAGGTAAGTCAGTCGGGGGTCAGGCATGGCAGTTGCTGTACTCCGGAGTTACACCAGTAGTCCTTTCGCTACAGCGTGTTCTCTCACAACAGATTGCACAAACTGGTATGTTGCAGAGAAAACCTGCGCAACGCCGCAGTGTCTCTACGCGGCAGACTTGAAACGAGGTATGCGATTCCGTGCTATTTTCCCTGACGTCATTTCTCGTCAGCATCCATGTTCCGGGGAGGCCAGGAGCGAGCGGCCTTTGCGACTCACCAGAAACTAGTCTCTTTGCGAAAGCACTCGAACAACGACCCACCACATGGACTGTATTCAAGATCAACTGACTCAAGAGTATTACGGTAGATTCCGTACTTGCCCAACATAGTATGCATATGGTATTTACAAAACTACTTCACTCCACAATTCGACAGCCGCCGCAAAACAATGCCGCACAAAAACCATCCCAAGTGCTCCAGGTACACACACCCCAGCGCGTCGACGTATTGTACCTTGTATCCGACACCTTTCCCTCGCCCCACAGAGTGATGCATGCTATACACGTGTCTTGCGACAGATCCAGCGTCAGAAACAACAGAATACAGGTACCACAAGAGGACACACGGCGCCCCTCTCGAAAAACAAAGCCCGCGTCGGTAGGTCAAACAGATAAATGTCCGCCCAACTGTTGATTGATGTGCGACCAAACGACCCAGAACAAATGGCAAACAACATGCATGCGGGGAAGCCCCCAGACAAAAAACACGGGAATGGCGTGCGTCCAAGCAACAGGCGTGGTCCCTCCGTATTCAAAGTACTTCGAAGTATACAGCTAGCGTCGTTGCTTATGCCCGGCTCACATCCTGCCGGCAGCGACAACGCAACAAGGCTTGACTTACTAAGTCATCGAAGTTCTTGCTTCTACGCAGATGCCCACAGGCACAAGGGAATCGAGGAGACACCAAACAAGAATCGACTCGATAAACACGCCGGAAAAAGGAACACACCGAGCTATATTAGTAGCGTGTTTGAAGGGGTCGGAGGGGGTGTTCCCGCAACAATAATCCGGGGTACGACAGGGAGGAAGCCCTCTCGGACACAACTCCATTTTCAAGCGACAACCAAGATTAACCCCCGGTTCAGAACCGTCACACCTTCTCTGTATCAACTTTTCAGCCGGCATCTGCATTATCGAAACACTCCAGTTGCCACCAACTGGCGCGAAGAATCAGACGAAGGTAGACTCGAGAACGGGACACCGCTCTCCCACCTCTTCCTGTGCTTGAAACCTGAAATTCGGTTCGTCAGTCATCGGGTAAAACAGAAGCGTGGTCGGAGGAGAACCTATCGGCAGCACTGCGTGGGATCAGTCCGTCTGCGCAAGTACCGAAAAGAAACAGAGGGACTGCATGCGCTTGCAAGTAGCTATGGCCTGGGAATGGCGTCATGACGAAGAGAGCGCGAGAGTGCTGCAAACCGGAAGTATTACTACACAGGAAAGACCTGAATCGCACCATCAATGGTGCGCGCCAGACAAGAAGCTTGTGGGGGAAGTCGAATGGACGCATCCACTAGCCTTCTGAGTGGCGTGGTCAGCTACAGCACCACAACAATGGTTCCCTACGGGCTGTAGCACAGCCGCCACAAGCACATCACAGCACGTAATCGAAAGCCAGAGGAGGGCACAACAGCAGTTAGCTCTCTCCCTACAGGCGAACAGCGCTTGCTTGCAACCGATGAATGATCGGCCGGGACGGGATAAGATACTTGTTGTTCGGGCGGCACCGCCTAACGCCCTCGTTTGTTCCGCACCTCAGTACGTTTGTTTCCGACAAATGACCTTCGTTCAGATTTTCCCCGTACGCTGCACGAAGCGATGTACAGGGTATGTAAAATATAGGGAAATGGACAAAAGTGGGTATACCCACCCCTTTCTCGGACAAAAGTGGG